TTTTTGAAGGTATGATTGATATGATAAACATGTATCCACTCTGAAATGAATTCAAAAGTATTTGTTGATAAATCTGATTTATCTGAAAACAAAACTAATTACTTCTCACTGATTGTGATATTTGTAAATACATGTTTACTTAATCATTAATGAATGCCAGTAACTGAGTGTTGTGGCGAGTATCCAGCTTTTTATTTTATTTTTTTTTCCTTTTTACTATTATTTTTTCAACTCATATCATTTGAAACCTTCTCTGTGAAAGCATGTTCAATGGAGAGGAAGGGGGGGGGGAAGGGGGGGGGGAGTGACTTACGTTCAGTTTGCATGTGGATAATTGCGCATTTTGGGGGGGGGTTTGGCATCCCCTTCTCAAATTACTCTACATTTTGCTCAACCAATATGAAGCACATTTGCATATATATATATATATATATGTATCAGCATTTTGAGAAAAGTTTTGCCCATCTTTTGAAAGTCATTTTTTCATCGATCTCTTATTTCATTTATGTCTATTGATGAGCATCTTCCTTTTATTTGCTATCTTCAGTGAAGTTGAAGAATTTATGACGCTACGAGATACAAATGTTACACAATGGTTCTCAAATTGCCAAACCCTTTGTCCTGCTATGTGTCAAAGAAAGAGGCATGGGGAGCTACAGACAAGCCTGAAAAGTCACATTCAATTAATTATACAAAAATACCGTCAAACCCGCACGCAGTATAGTATAGTTAACAGATTTTCAGGCCTCAATTTTTTGTTGTTGTACATGTAATGTATCCGTTGTATTAAATTAATACACTACATACATTGCGAAATTCGTACATTATGACTATGAAATTTTTTCGTGTCCCACCAATTTCATTATGTGCATGCTAGACTGTAATAGATGTCGGTGCACTTTTGTTTTGCCTGCTTTTCATTTTTAAGTGTGACCATTTTCTCTCAGAAAAGGCTCACCATGCCATGCAAAAGTTAATTAACTACCAATAATGCAGAACTTGTATTCGGAACTAAAGCCTAGGCTTATGCCGTAGAAGTGATTTTTTTGGAGTGTTCAAAAGTAGGCCTATTGTCTTTAGCATCTCATGCCTCGTTTTGACTGTTTGCAGGACATATTCCATATATCTGGTATCTAAAAACCTACAAACATTTTCATGTTGTGAAATCAAAGATATGCCGTAATATTCCTCAAATTTGTATATTAATAGTGTGTACATGCTGTGCATTACTTAAAATCCATTTTACGTCTGGTGACAATTAACCAAAAAGTGATGGTGACATGTCTTAATTTCATTTTCTGAGTTGTGTTTTCATTTGAAATTTGACAGGAGATTGAACAAATGAGGATTGAGAACTGTGCCAGATTGGACAAACACTGTACTGATCAAATTGCGATGTCTGCGAAGGTTGTTTTCTTCTTTGGCGACCTCTCAGTTATTTACCCTTTTGATATTGGGAAATTTAGGGGTTTTATTTCAAATAAAAGGCTTCACATTCTAAATAAAATGCTACTTCTATGTCTAAAAGTGTGAGTACCAAAAGGTGAATAATCATGTTTCGAAATACATGTTTCTCAGCGCAATCTATATTCATGTAAGTGATGATTACTTTAATGCTACACTAGTACCATTTCATGTTGGCCCTAAGTCTAACAGGTCTTTTCGTAGCATGTTGACAATATATGAATATGACACCATCTGAATGAATACAAAGCCAGATCAGATCCGAGTTGCAGGAATTACACTTTCCAACCAAGCTAATACTAATGTATCAGCATTTTAAGAACAGTTGTCTATCTATTCTTTGGCTGCTATCCAAGTTTTTAAAAACCCAACAGGGATACCCCACAATATTTTTTTTTTCTTCAGATTTTCTAACACTAATATTAAACAAAATCACATCAGGTGGGACTGATTTTGGTGTAGTGTATGTGACTGTTAAATTTGAGATTGCCAAATCCAGGACAGTCCCGGGAAGCTTGGAACAGTTGGCAAGCCTGTTAATCGTTATTATTATAACGGTATAACTATAATAACATGGATAGGCCCAACACAGAAAACTCAAAATCAAGCATTCATTAAACTGTGCATTCGGTCCCCATTTTTTGTCTTCTCTATCTTTGTAAGGTAGGCCTATCCCTCGAACTACCGAGGCCGGTCCTGACAAATTTGAGCTATGCGTGTCATACTGTAGTAATAATATAGTGTACTGCAGTGGTAGGACTGCACCAAGTCCTAGTCTGGTGATGCTTTCACAAGACACTTTCCACATTGAGACATTCCGGAGCTTGTACTTGTTGTCCTCACTGCTTTACCCGTAATAAAGAGCCCAAAACTTCCCCCAACAGAAAAATTGGAAATCACCTCCTATACTGTTATTTGTGAAGTCTAGTAAGCCAAAATAGCCATTCTCACTTACTCTGCTCTGAACCCACACACCACCAGCTCCAGCACTCTTTAACTTACCCATGTCTTAAATTGATTTAATGACAGAGGAATAGTTTTATTTGTGGTATAATTATTAATATCCCACTGATATAAATATCTGGAACTTAGAAAATACATATCGTGTAGAATGTACCAGAGTTTACTTTCTGCTCCTTGTGCAAGAGTCCAGCACTCTGTTGTTCAGTGCTAGCTTGACATGAAGTCATTAAGTCCAAAACTACACCCTTAGTTGTTTTTTTGTATTGATCACATGCAAAATTACCATATGCTTCTATTGACCGTAGAACGAGTCTTAAAATTCTGTTTAAATAGAGGCTACATGTGACGTGCTTGGTAATTTCTAACACACCTGATTTCATGGACGCTGGCTTGGTGAAAAATTTATGACCTCATTAATTGGCTATCACTAGATCTTGGCAGTATGGTGAGTGTTTAGGAAAAGGCATAAAATATTTGCTGCCTATCTTTCTCTCCTTCTTGAATGATTTGTAATGCACAGTTTACACTTAATGAATGTAAGTGTTTAGACACAAAGCAGGCTCCTGTAAACCGTGGCAATTTTTTCTGATCTTCATTTCTGCTTTACTTCTAGATCTATGTGTTATTAGGTAAGTCACTTTGGAACATTATGAAAGTTTTACAAACATGAGGTTGTGTGCATGTGTGAACGTTTGTGAACTCAACAAGAACTAACAGGATGGCCAATTGTGCATAATTTCTGCTGCTATATATATTGTACTGCGAGTTCGGAATGCTTGATGACAGAACATGTGTCAACACAATTAGCATGATTGTAGTCTAAAAGATGTCTTTGATTTATAAAGTCATGTGAATTAAAAATTTGAAGAAAAAAAAGATTGAACAACCAAAAATATTTGTGTCCTTTTCATTCTTTCACCAGTTTCCAGAATTCCATAGCACTTTCTGTGTGAGGCGACAAGGCTTCTTAACCGGTGTCTGTGTTGTAGCCGTTAGGCTCTTTGCCGTCGCACAGAGAAGACTAGAGTTTGATTCCAGAGTGAGGAGTAACTTTTATATCAAGATAGGTCTTTCTGCTGTGAGATGTTGTATCCTTCTCAGCCTGGGTTGGCTCTGATAGGTAGGGTCGGAGAGCCTCTACCCCCCCCCCCCTAAATGATCTAAACTGTGTCAATTGGGAGTAAAAAAAAACATTTTCTAATGTTAAAGAAAAAGGAAAGGCTTTTACACATTGAAAGTTGGAATGTGCCACTGACAGGTTCTACTTCTGTTTTATCCTCTTTGTTTTTCACCGACAGTTGTACTTTTTCAAAGCACAAAATGACCACCATTATGAATCATGTCAACGTGTTTCTCATAAACAAAACTCTGACAATACAAATCTGAGAGGTGGTTCTTAAAGCTACAGTACAACATGGATAGGTTGAACACAGAGGACTCAAAATCATGCATCTGTGCCTGCGGTTACGTCTTTTTTTTCTTTCTTTATCTTTATTTTAGTAAAAGATCCCTCGAACTACAGAGGCCAGTCCCTACAAATTCAAGCTATCGTGTCATACTGTATTTTTACAACGCATGTTGCACAGATTGAAAGTGTGCAAAACAGTCTTTTCTCAGACCATTTTAGTGAAAGAAGACAAAACCTTCCAACATTATTCAGAAATTTGAAAATATCCATGAGACACTTTCCTGCAATTCCAGAACTTTTACGGCGCTCGCAACTGCATAAGGCCATATGAGCACCAGACAATTAGAGGTGTTACAAGAGAGTAACAAACATAAAAAAGAAGAAGAGGAGATAAAGACGATAGATGTTTGATAAGAAAGAAGAAGCAGCATACCACACCAGAGCACCCGCCAACCACCCACTCCAGAACTTTAGTGGTTTTTTTAGTAGAGGTTTTATGGCACTCATAACTGCATAAGGTCATCATATGAGCACCAGAAGATAGGTGTTACAAGAGAGTAACAATAACAAACATAAAAAAAGAAGAGGGGGAGGTAAGGACGACGGATGTTTGATAGGAAAGAAGCAAGAAACAAACCACACCAGTGCACCCGCCAACCACCCACATTCCAGAACTTTTGTGTCACTGTTTTACGGCACTTGCAATACAATAAGGTCATACAGTAACCTAGTGGTTAGGCTTTCAGACTCGCAACCGTAAGGTCATGGTTCGAATCCTATCATTCTGCCCTTGCGAAAGGCACTTTACAGAAATTTTCCTCACTTCACCCACATGGGAATGGGTACCCAGCTATAGACAGTAAAAGATGATCTCAGTTTCTGAGTGTTGAAGCGCGTTAATAAGCTGCTTGCACTGTATGCTTCTCTGGAAGCTGAGAATGTTACAGAGTGTTCTATGGTTTTCTGTTGAGCAGCATTGTGTGCTGTACAAGTGCTATTTATTATAAGTACCTAAGATTAAGAGGTTTTACAAGAGAGTAACAAAGACAAAAAAAGAACATGGAGAGATGTTTGATGATAGGAAACAAGGAGCAAACCACACCAGAGCACCCATCGACCTACCACAATTCCAGTACGATAAAGTAAATAAAGCTTAAAGCAAGAATATTGACATTGATAACTTTTATTACGCAACTTCTACATCAATCAATAAACATCTGATTACCATTGTACAAAAGGCAGTATGCAACATGGATGAGAGAAGTTTGGCTTTACTCATAATGTGCAATAAAATCAAACAACCTTTTTTTCTTTGAAGGGGAACAATGCAGAGCAACTCAAATCTTGAAAGCTAAAACACACTGAAGTAAAAAAAATAAAAAGGAGAAACTTTCATTGCAAGACATTGAACACTTGACACGGAAATCCACAAAAAATGAGGTTACAAACCACACAATCCATGCCGTTCACCCCATACATGTTGGCGTACTGAGTTCTGCATTTCATCAGTAGAAGAAGAATGTGGGAAAATGGAAAAAGCTGCCCTGCGCAAATGTTCTTTCGGGTACATGTAATGATAATCTACACGTGTCACATCATGGTAAAATCAGGTGCTCATCAAAATAAATAACAAAACATACCCAATATCCCCCCCCTCCCATTGGGAAATTTTTATCATTTTAGGGGCGGGGGCGGCGCTATTTAGAAACGCATTTTCGTGTGGCGCCAAAAAAATATAAATTATCAGTTTCTAAGAACGTTAAAAAAATGGAAGTCACCAAACTGGCTGCCACTTCCTCATTGATTTTACCTCTGAAACTAGCAAAGCCCACTTGCTTCAATCGCGAACATCTCGTCGCAAACATCTCGACTTGTATCAAAAATAGATGAGAATTTTTTTTCCCCCACAAGCAAGAAAAATGAACAAGCTTCAAGATAATACTAACAACTTCACATGCCCAAAACTTGACAAGCACCTGATTCCACCGTGTCCTGACACGCACATAGTAGTAGGCCTACAAAGGGGAGAGAAAGCATTGGAAGTCATCACTCAGCCATACAAACCAAACAGTAAAACAAAAGCCAGTAACCTCTAACCAGCAGGAATATACATGCAAACACCAGCACATATGTATATCAAATTCAACTTTGGAACCTGCATCCACTTACGATAAAACAATTTCCCCCCTCGAACAAAGTGACACAGAGCAGTGTGTACTACACACTTCATACAGTTCAGGACAAGTCCATGCAATTCTGCTCAACAATAAGTTCCTACGGATACACCAGCCCTTCATCGTTTCTGTAGCAGGGGGATGGGGGTGCGGGCGAAGCACAAGAGATGGATACAACAATGCCCCTTCAGCCCAAAGTCATCCAGCAAGTTACATTTGGCTTTGATCATTTGTGTTTTTTGTGCCAAATCTTCAAGACCTTGCGACCAGCCACCCCACAGAGCTTCAATGTACAGCCAGCATCTGAGCAATCAATATCGGGAGAGACAAAAGAGGCAGAGTGAAAGGAAGGAGGGGACGAGGGAATGCTGCCATATTACACTGTTGATGTATCTTCCTCACTCACCCTTAAACATGAAGAGGAGTCTACTGGTAATTATACAAGTGTTAAGAAAATCTTAATAAAACAAACCAGACCTTAAGCACAACAACAAGAGTAAAAACAATCAATGAACACAATCTTACCGCCTAAACAACGCTCACATCTGCCCTTGCTTGGGTCAGTCGTGTGTTTCTCAGGCTATGATTTTTGTAACTTCTCATCCTCTTTACTTCAAAAGATACTGCTGACTTTTTTTTAAAAACTTTTTCCAAAATGTTTCAATAACTCCCATTTCAAAATTTTTTTATTCTTTTTTACATAAAACCCATGTAAGTTCTGTAAGTTCTTTGCTACAAATTATCCACAAAAAAAAACAAAAAAAAAACCTGCATTGAAAGTGTAATGAGAACAAGCACCCGCAGCAACACAACATACCAGCTCTGAACTCAGTCCTTGCTCTCACTCCCAGACCGTGCGTCCTCCTCGTCATTTCTGTCCGCGTCCCGATCCCTTTCCCGGTCACTCCTGTCCCCATCATCGTCGTCCATGCGAGACTGTTCCACTTCCTGCTTGTCGCCGGCAGAGTCTCCGTTCCTCTGCTTCTCTTCATTCTCCTCCCGGTCCCGCGGGCTTCTGGAGCGGCTCTTCGACTTGGAGGCCGACCGCGACCGGCGTGGGGACTTGGAGGCGCGGGGCGACTTCGACCGGCGTGGGGACTTAGACCTGCGGGGAGACTTGGACCTGCGGGGTGATTTTGACCTGCGTGGTGATTTGGACCTGCGGGGTGATTTGGATCTGCGCGGGGACTTGGATCTGCCTGGTGACTTGGAGGTGCGTGGAGAGCGAGATCTGCGGGGGGACTTGGACTTGGACCTGGACCTAGTCAGGCAATGAAACACAACACACATCATCAGAAACAACCAGGGAGGTGGACTGAGGAATTTTCGGGGGGGGGGGGGGGGTTTGGGGGGAGGGTCGTAAGAGTTTTACGGCATTTGCAACATAATAAGGTAAAATAAGTGCCGAAGATTAGAGGTGTTACAAGAGAGTCAAAATGGTGAAATGGTATAGGTTTAACGGCCTTTTAAACACGAATAGGTTATTTAAGAGGCGGGACCTCCGAGTTTAACATCCATCTCCAAAAGGACCGAACCAAGTGGGAAATTCGTGTAAAGCGCCTTCCCCAAAGACACAGCGTCGGACCGAGCTGAGGCTTGAACCCCAAAAACCGCAACCCCACGATTACAAGTCAAGTGGCCAAACCACTAGGCCACCGTCACCACTACAAGAGAGTAACAATCACAAAAAAGAAGGAGGGGAGATAAGGACGATAGATGTTTGATAAGAAAGAAGAAGCAACCCCGACCAGAGCACCCGCCAACCACCCACACATCACACTGATGGGCTTTTTCATTAGGGTGGGGGGGGGGGGGGGGAAGCATGGTGACAAATGAACCACATACAAACAGGGTTGGGTTGATTTAAATCAGGTTGATTTAAATAAAAATCAGTGATTTAAATCACTTTTTTCAAAATTTATTTTTATTCAGTTTTTACATATTTCATCATTCAGAATTCCTTTCCTAGGTTTCATAAAACTGATATAAGGTTTACTACACTAATACAATCATGCTTAAAAGTCTGCTTTTCCCCCTTTCACTGTAAAATAATACAGTATTCAATTTACTTTTTTTCCCCATAATTGAAATCAGAGCTGGGTTGATTTAAATCAGTTAATTTTTTTATTTTAATCAACTTGATTTTATGATTTAAATCACTTTTTTAAAATGTATTCTGTTTTTACATATTTAAACATTCAGAATTCCTTTCCTTGGTTTTATTAAACAGATATATATAAGGTTTAGTAGACTAATATAATCATGCTTAAAAGTTTGCTTTCCCCCCTGTCACTGTAAAATAATACAGTATTCAATTTTCTTTCTTTTCATAATTGAAAACCAGGGTTGGGTTGATTTAAATCAGTTGATTTTTTTATATTTAAATCAACTTGATTTTTAAAATAAAACTCAGTGAATTAAATCACTTTTTTTAAATGTATTGTTTTTACATCTTTAAACATTCAGAATTCCTTTCCTTGGTTTTATAAAACAGATATAAGGTTTAGTAGACTAATAATATCATGCTTAAGAGTCTGCTTCCCCCCCTGTCACTGTAAGTAGTAAATTAATACAGTATTCAATTTACTTTTTTTTCATAATTGAAATTAGCATTTTCTTTTTCTTTTTAGACAAACACAAGCGCGCACACACACACACGCACACTGTAATAAAATACAAGTTTATCTATGCATAATTACCCCCTCCCCCCCTTTCCTTTTAGACTGACATTTTCTTCATTTTTTTGTCTGTAGCCATAATTCACTGATAATAGCAGATTAAGGCTTTCTTTTGCAGTTGCTTAAATTAATCATTAGTTAAAATAAAGACAATGCATTCTGCACTAAAAGAACATACTTTTACAACACCAAAAATCCCAAACTGTGTCGACATTTTTTAAAAAATAAAAAAAAAATTTTTAATCCGATTAAAATTTTTAAAAACTGATTTAAATTTAAAAAATCGATTTTAAAAATTTTTATTTTAAAAATATAAAAAATCACCAACCCTGCGTACAAAAAGAAAGCAAGAATCTACCATCAGAACTCACTGAAAGCCAGCCATACCATACAAATTCATAGCATAGGAAGATTTTAAAATTTGATCGATAGATAAAAGTAATTTCAAAATACCCAACCTTTTGTTCTTCCTCTGAAGCCAAAAAATTCACACACAACGTAGCAAATTGAGTGTATGGGTTAAAATCAAAACCAAAAAACGTTCTGACATCCACAAAAGAAGAAGGACCGATAAATAACTCTGTAGCTCAAACAATATAGCCTATAGTAAGGGAAGGGGACTAAAGAATTTTATCTCATAAAAATAGCTACAGAGAAAAAGCAAAACCCAGCTCTCACACTGTGTTTACACAGTAAACTTTCTTCTGCCAGGTATATTTTCAGCTCTCACAGACCTATAAAATAAATTTGAACCTGCTCCAAGGCCACCGGTGCAAACAACCACTTCCTCACCTTACATTTTTTCTATATCATAATAACACTGCCTAAGAGGATCACTTTTCTAAGAAAACCAGTATTCTCCTTGACAATGGGTGCTCATCTTGGACAAGTTTTATTGTATTTTGGTTCCCTACCCTAGACACACTGAATCAATCAAAAGATAAAGTAGAGACAAACAGCATGAAAATTAAGAAGAATAAATAAGCAACAAAAAAACCCCAAAAAACCACACATTTTATATCAAAATTTTTTAAAGGCATGAACTACTGGGGAAAAAAAATAATCCCACCAGCCACACACACACAAAAATGTCTACCACATGCACCTCCCTTACCTGGGCTTGCTGCGAGAGCCACTGTCCTTCCTGCTCCGGGAGCCACTCTTCCTGTCCCTGGATCCGCTGCGGGACTTGCGGTCGCGCTCCCTTGATCCACTGCTCGACCTGTCGCGCTTCCTGTCATCCGAGCCGCTCCTGCTGCGGCGGCGGTCCCGGGATCGGCTGCGGCGTCTGCGGTCCCTGGAGCGGCTGCGACTCCTGTGTCTCCTGTCCCGGGATCTGGATCTCGACCTGTAGGATGGGTGGTGGAGGGAGCACATGAGACTTCAGTAAACACATTTCAACACTTGGTGGCGGCGGCCCTTTCTGCTGCTGATGGCTATGAATGCTTTCGTCCTCTTTGGGAGTCCCATTTGGTCTTTCCAGGGCCTCCTTTTCCCTATGGTTCGTTTTTGCTGCTGACGGCTATGAATACTTTTCTCCTCTTTGGGAGTCCCATTTGGTCTTTCCAGGGCCTCCTTTTCCCCATGGTTCGCTCATGCTGCTGGCGGCTATGAATGCTTTCGTCGTCTAATGAATACTTTTCGTCCTGTGTCGGGAGTCCCATTTGATCATTCCTGGGTCTTCTTTCTCCCTACAGTTGCATGCTGGGTGAGGGTATGTACAGTTGAGTCATAATAGTTGTAGTTCACAGGACCCAGTAAACACAAATCAATACTTGGTGGACGAAGCAGACAATGCTTTTGTCCTCTATGGTGTCCATTCGGTTAATCCTGTGCCTTGTTTCCCTACAGCCGCAAGAAGGATGATGGTATTTACAGTAGTCACAGCAATTCCCCGTAGTTCTGTAATAACTGTATTCTGCAGTTCATTGCTGGGCTGTAACTGTCTCAAGCAGTTTGCTGTGGTTCAGTACCTGTTTCTGCAGTTCATAGTGATTCTCTTAATCTTCTACGGTTCACTGCGGTTCTGAAACTGTATTTGGCGTGGCGAGATATTTGGCCCCATAAGGCCTGCGACAAAGTGCATTCATTCCCTGGTACTTTCAAAGCCTTGAAAAGAGGTACCACTGGGATTTTGTACAAATAACTGAAAATCTATGCAGTTGTTTTTGCAAGCAATAACACAGTAAATATACACTAATAATTCAGGGTTACACAGAAAACAAATGCTGAGAACAATAGCTGCTGTTATCAGATTTCAGTTTTAAAAATTAAAGGAAATAACAGGGGACAAAAACAGAAAACCAGCACCCAAACTAAAATCTAATTCCTATACCTTTCTACTTGTAAGCAAACTGTCAGATTCGTTTGAGTTTGAGTAAAGAGAAGCACATCACGACACAATAATGGTCATTTAGAGCTGGAAAAAAGTCAAACAGACAGACAGAAAAAACAAAGGGGAAAGAAAAGAAGTAGTACCTACCAGTGGCATCCTCCAACCACCTATTTGCCAGAATCACTCCATTGTTTTATCACTATCAACATAAGGTCACAGGGAAGCAAGTCAACTTCTAAGCTCCATGAGGCTATACAGTCCTTCCCCCAAAAGTTTGATCCCCACCTTCTCCACAATGTCAACACAAGTGGCATGCCCTTTTCTTTACAATCCAGATTCTACGAAGACCTTGCTAAAGCTTACTGTCACAGCTCTTCTGGCAAAACAACTTCCACAGCATAATGTTGGTCTATTGACTTGAACCTGCGATGTGTTGGAAAAAATCATCTTGTTCCCTGTAGGGTGAAAACACCCATACGTTTATCCATTCCTGTTCTCCTTGTTCTCTCACAGATGACAGATGTGTCAACAGCAGACTGACAAATGGTGGGGCTTGACTCGAACCTTTTGTCCCCTGGGTATTCCCTCATCTCGGCACCAACACTGCACTTTATAGAAAAAGGGACTTGAAAAGCAGAACTGTCGACACCATGAGCAGCTTTCAAGGTTCACTCATAATTTTAACGTCCTTGCAAAAGAACATGTGTTACAAATGAAGTCCCTGTTACAACACACTGCAAATGCAAGCCAGTTTTACTGATCCACTGAGTCCTTCACCGAGATGCTAGCGTAAAAGACTAGCGAGCAAAAAGCGGTTATGTCTCTTGCACTGTAATGCCAACTAGCCAAACAGATCATAAAATATAGAAAGTAAATCCCAATCAACCAAAACATAGGGCAAATGGGGAAGGGAGAACATGGGTGTAAAACAATAAGGTAACAATGTAACAATATGTTTGCTGACTGGGATGAATAAGCCTGAAGTCACATTTTACCAGAGGTCAATTGATGGGATTTAACACTTTGCCATCACAAGGCTTATATAGAATTTTAAAAACCCTGCCATCACAACCATTTCGGGGGAATTCCAAAGAAACTGGGTGGTAAACATCGCTGATATCTCCGTTTGTGGGGGGAGCGGAAGTTCGGTGTTCTTGTTGATCGGCGAGATGTGACGGCAAAGTGTTAAAGTTCTAGCTAACAGTTTCACATAAGAAAGAACGGAAGTCTAGATAATGGGGAAATTGAATATAACACTCAGCTCAATTTATTTTTTAACTGTCAAAACCAGATTCAAATCAGATGCACAAACCATTCCATCCTCCTTTCTTACACCATTGCTTTTCACTTTTTACCTTGCATGAAAAAGGACTTCGTCCCAGGAATAATACTACATGACACAAATGTGCCCATAGCTGAGCCACCTCACTGACCTTCTTCTGGGGGATGGGGACCTCCAACGACCTCCGCCCCCACCACCACCACCACCACCACCACCACCTCCTCCGCCACGTCGACCCCACCTCAGCTCTGGACAGTCCCGGGCCCAATGGCCTACTCGTCGACAGCGGAAACATTCATCATAGGTCTGCAAAAGAAAAATGCAAACAAAACTCGTTCAGATTTATTATTTTATTTCAAAATTGATCAGGTAGATGTTTTACTTGTGAAAGTTTTCTTCTTTATATTAAACTTTTAAGGGGGGCTCTCGTGGCCTAGAGGCTAAGGTGTTGGCCTCTCATTCAAAGGTCCCGGGTTCGATTCCGGGTAGCGACCAAAAAATTTTCTTCTCTAAAATTGTCTCCTTTCACATCCTTTCCTGATCTCTAACAATGTTCTGTTGTCTGCTTTCATTTCCACTTTCTGCCTACACCCCCTCACCTCCTTTGCCCCCTCCTATGGGCTCCTGACTCTTTCTGCAGCCTTTCTACTGCTACTCCTTGGCTCCTCCTAACTGCTGTCTTTCTGCCACACCCCTGATCTTCTGGTAGGAAAGATCTACACCTAGCCTTCTCGGACAAGGGTGAAAAATCTCGGAGGGCCCGTGTGCAAGTTGCGCACGTTAAAGATTCCTTGGTGGTCTAAAATCGATAAGAGTAGGCTTCGGCCGCCACCCGGGCAAAAATCAAAATTTCCTACCAACGAAAAAGTATTAGGTGTGTCCCGCGCGCTCATATGACCTTATGCAGTTGCGAACGCCGTAAAACCCTATACTAAACAAACAAACTTTTAAGGTGCTTGCAGCTCTATAAGGTCAAATCTTCGACTTGATTTTCTAAAAATAAAAGTATGATTGGACGAAGATTGTAAAAGTTATTGTTCTCAAAAAAGTATCTGAGCCAGAACATTTAAATTTTCAGTGGAGAAAGATAAAATTTGATTGCAGGTAATGGGCTATTCATTTGTCTCAAAATGTTGAATTTGACCTTTGTGTGGTGGGTGAAAAAATATATATATAACACCTGTACACATATTTCTAGAATCTGAAAAAAGTATTAATATTGTTCCAAATTTAATCATTTCAAAGGACCAATTACCTAGATTTATGCAGAATTAGTGTTTTCGACTGATTTTAGTACTATAAATTAACCTTATGCAGTTGCGCCATAAAACTCTTACTACACAAATATATAATTCAAGATGGCTGCCACTTGTCTATGTATAGCAACAGTGATGTCCTCCCCCAAAAATTCCCTGCATTTCTTTCACAAGTCATTCTAGTGATACAGGGAAGCTTCATGGCAATGATTGTTAGAAATGAGCAATATTGAAATTTTAGGAACCTCTTTCCTTAGCAAATTTGGAAACACTGGCTTCTCATGTAAGACTACAAAAATCAAATAGGGGGTACAAATCGTGTCAAATTCAATCAAAGGTACAGTGCAGGTGATATTTTTCAGGAAGTCTACAAACCCTCAGGATCAATTTCAAAAGTACGAGTGACAACTTTCAACAACATGCTGTATCTCAGATAAAAACCTTTTGAACTGGCAGCGAGAGGTTTAAAAAAAACTATGCTAAGATGGGAAATACCATGTGTACAAAAGTTTAGAAATACATTCACAAACTCACCAGCCTCCTATCTCTTCCTCCTTTGGCCCATTCAACAATCATACTCTGTCCATTTAATTCCCGACCATGTTCATATTTAACACAGTCCTGAGGAAAAAACAGTAGTAGATGTAACTCAAGATAAAAATTACCATAAAATGTTTGTCACTTCAGATAAAAGCATTAAATTTTATTCCTTCTTAATTAAAGAAAGGTACGCTTATCATGTGACCTCTGCTTCATTAGCCAGCCAATTTCCCCCTTTCATTCAACCTTTTCCACTTTTGCAACTGGCAACAGCTTCCACCCAGTCTACCGTCAGGATAACAACGAAAATCACATACACCTGAAATCACCAGGCTCATATACAATGAGCTGAGGCGGTGAATTATCGAATATAAAAAGAGAACACATCTCAAAATGACCAAAAAACTCATTCATCAATTCCTCATTAAAATATAACCAATTTGACATTTGAAAAATAAAAAGTAACTGCACAATGTCTATATTCTAATTATAAAAACCCAGATGACATAATATATCACATCAGTTACGCAAAGTGACACGTTCAGAAACATATAGCATTAAAATGTCACAAAGTAACAAAGTGAAAAAAGATAGTGCCTGGCCTGAAATTGAAAGCACTGCATGCACGTAGTCTACGACAGGGCTGCCAACCAGTTTCGAGGATTTGGGAAGAGAAGAACAAGCAAAATAGCGGAAGACAAAAAGCTCGACTAGCACTTGAACAACAGAACTATCACCGAGGAACTCCATACGTTCAGGAAGTACTGTAACCCAGACTGAAACTCATACCAAAACTATAAAACCAGCCACTTGCTGAACATTTCTTCCACATAATCAGACACTGAGTCCACAACTCATCACCAAGAAATAAAAACAAAGGACTTTCAAGAAGAAACTAGGGCATTACTTAATCTTGGCAAAAAGGACATTGAATCACTCATTAGCTATGACCAAACAAAAGGAATCATCAAATGGAACTCTATTGAAGCTCGTTATAAACGTTCTCATTCATGTACGCTGAAAAACAATTCCAGAAAACAAAAACACCAAAATCTGAGATTAATCATAGAATCACTGCAGTGATTCAAAACACAACTCCATGGAACACAAATACAGAGATCAGAGTCCAAAAGCATGAAAACTCCACCAAAACTCTATGAAGTTGATGCACAGAAAACATTTATGGACCAAATCAAACTAAGTTGGCAGCCCTGATAAAAATTAGATGCAAATTTGATCTACTAAGGAAACCTTCACAGAAAGATAAAAATGACAACTTGTACATGTGTGATTTAAAAAAGGAAATGTTGTCATTTGGAATGTATGACTTATTACACACAAATTTTAATACGTCCAGTAAAAGATCTGAACTTAAAAAAAAAAAATCATACAAAACAAAATAATTCCTTTTAGTTTTTAAAAAAATGATAAAAAATTAAAATCACAGCTCTAGGATACAACAAGACACACACATGAGTATGAGATAGAACAACATACTGGCAGGACCAGGAAGACTGATTGAAGCGGTCACAGCCCAGGCCCAAAGGTACTACATTGTGGTGAGGCAAGGGAGGACAAGGGCTCCCCCTTTGGGCTAGCCGGTGCGGTGCGAGTAGGCAACGCTGACCAACGTGGGCATTGGTCTGGGGCAGAGCGTAAGCGGTGTTGGCTACAGGCCAGCAGGTGTCGCTTTCACTTTTCCAACCACAGCGGCGGACTAGGGACAGGCAAGGAGGCAATTCTTGCTCCAAATCTTTGTCCGGCGGAGCTGACCGACCGAGGAGGCCGTCTAGACTGGCAGGTGGTTGTCACAAAACGTCCATAGACAAACTCGTACATTGTAAAAGAGGGCTGCATTATGACAATCTACAATTTCTGGTTAACTTAACCATTAACTGATGTGCTATCTCTTATTGCATTGGATTGTGTCCAGAAGAGCAGACCGTGACACTATGAATAACAATTTACATAAAGGAGAATTTTAATCCAAATGAAATTTATTCACTTAGCAGCCCCCATTATAGTAGAATACCAAAGCAAACACTTGTTATTCTCAACATCCTCAAAATAAATTTCAGAAAAATTTCAAAACATTTTTTTTGAGGAAAAAAATTCAGTTGAAATATATGGTCTGCATTCTCAAATTTTTGTTGTTTTTCAAAGGGTGTTTTGATAATCTATTCTAACATAAAAAAGAAGAAAAAAAAGGAAAAAAGAAAGGAAAAAAAAGAAAAGAAAAAGGAATAGTTTCAAAGAGATCGGCAGAGCCGTCTGGAGCGGCAGCGGGTGCTGCAGGAGGTTGACCCACAAGACTTTCGGCAGCAAGCGACACCCACGGAGCCACAGGGGGGGAGGCAGGCCAGCAGGAGAGGCTAAGCAAGACGAACCCCGGTAGGACTAGGAGCTCTCTCTCTCTCTCTCAACTCAGACCACGGTTTAGGAGAAGGTATGGGCTGACCAGTGCTTGTGGCTAGGATAGGCTTAAAGTGCGGGCTAGGCTCTCAACCATGTGCTGGCTTATGAGGGCTTATGGGCTCGGCAGCTTGACCAGATGAAAAAAAAACATAACGGCATCATCAGTCAAGGAGCACACAAATCAAGCCTGTTTTTTTATTGCAAAAATGTATATTTATAGTACTTTTTAAATCTTATTTTCCAAACTAAAACAAATGTTTGAATGATGTTTGCCATCAAATTTATAAATTGCTGCAAATCTTGGAAAGAGAAAAGGAAAACCTTTACAAAAAGACTACAACAATTTTAAAGAGAAATCCAAAACAAGTTTGGATTTTTAAAAACTGGAAGAAAAAAACAGAATCAATCAATGCATACCTCTGCATCCCGTCTGTCTTCAAAGTCAATAAACGCATATGCTGAAAAGATTCAATCATTTTAATAACATTAAACATACAAATATACATTCAACTATTATTCCCTGCAGTCCAGTCATCTACACTACAGTGCTACACAGAAGCAACATCACATTTAAAGGTGAAACAACTATCATGATGCAGAAGTTAACATTACTCATTAGCCTAACTGAAACTTCCACTAGTTGCAACAGTTATTTTAATATGTCACTTCAACAATATCATCTGAATCACTAAAACTGACAAACAACCAAGCCGATAAGAAAATTGCAAAATGCCAAATTATGGTATGCCATTTTTAAAGATGAAAAATAGATAAAAGTATCAAATTACATTTACAAATATACTTTAAAAAATAAACTTAACGAATACAAAAAAGGTGTACTCATGCACACTTATACTTATACAACTCTATACTTTATTTATTCAAATTTAATTTACACACAAAGACTTTAAATGATTGTAAAATGGCTAAATTGAGAACAAACAATCACTAAATGCATTAACATTACAAATTAACACTACTTAACCAATACAACACTCCTCAACTCACCCATTTCTGATCCTGAAATTTGAAATATGAAAAATATTATCAGTAACTTGAAACATTCATCATTTAAGAGCCCAGAAAGCCTGTTTTATCGTAACATTATTTAAATTATAAACTCACCCATTTCTGATCCTGAAATTTGAAATATGAAAAATATTATCAGTAACTTGAAACATTCATCATTTAAGAGCCCAGAATGCCTGTTTTATCGTAACATTATTTAAATTATATAAGTAGAAAATAAATTCTCCAAAATTCGAGCCCTCTGTACTTTTACTAGATAGACCAAGTGAGAGTTGAGGACCTGTGGCTACTTCTACGGTCCACACTGAGAAAAAACATGAAACATGGGCAAATGGATGTGTCATGTCATGAATGCTCTCTCTCTATATATATGGGACTACCACTATGGCATTATCAATTGAAATACATGAAAATGACAGAAATAAGAGAATGTATTTTACTTTCACTCAGACTCTGATCTCATGCTTGGATAATATTAACCCTTGAAGATTCTTGTCCCGGGTAAATGTTCGCCGATAAGAGCATTTCCGCGCAGCTAATGACATTTCGGTTCATGCGGGATCTGAGTCTTTGAGCAAAAATGAGTGTGTGCATCAGTCTGTTTGTAAGTGTGTGCCCTTCTGGAACTTTCTGCGTTGTTTACAAAGGAAGTGGCTATCCTCGCCCGGGGTGAGAATAAAACTACAATCGACCTCTCACCCCGGGTGAGACTTGCTACCGTTAGCTATTCTCACCCGGTGTGAAACAAGACCTGTTTTTCCTTATTTCGGAATACTTTCTATCGGTGTGGATGATCAAATGAATAAAAGCAAAGAAAAAATTACGTTATAGCACAAAAGCAAGCTAATTTGATCGTCTACAAAGATGCTATGGCTATTTCACTTTTCGAATCGAGCCGAACCATGCGGGTCGCCATTTTGTTTTGCCCGGAAGTTCTCGCAAGATCTACTCCTCCCCTCTTCTCTCCACTGCCCACAGGGACAAAATTATTGTACGCTTTTAGGCTAACAGTAGTAATGGAACGTTTGTTCACGGCACAGAATTCTACATTTTTTCTGTTATCACAGAGTAGATTTCTGTGGTTCAGGGTGAACGCAAAATTGGTTGGCCTAGATCTAGGCTATAACGGTGAACGCACACCGGGTGAGAATAGCCAAAAGACTCGCCTGCGCTATTCTCACCCGGGGTGCGCAGGGTTCTGGGTTGAATTCTTTGATCCCAGGACCACTGGGACATATAAGCATGATCTTTTCAAGCATATCTCTGGAAAGCAAATGCCTTCAGTCACCAAGGATGCGCTTCTTCAAAGAAAACAGGGATTATATGAGCCAAATGAGACAGATTGAGAAATTTCCTTGCTTTTTTAAGACTGAACTTGTCTTGTTCTCACTCAGAAGTAATAAGCCCTGACTTTCAGAGAGAAACATGAGCCACTCTTTCTTTATTTTCAGTGTTGAGCATCCTTGTGCTGAAGCACAGTCTCATAATAAGCTATCAAGTCATCCATCTGTGTCTCACCATATTCTTTTAACTCATCCATTTTGTCAGTTTCAGGCACTTTTGTCCTGTTAAATATCCCTGCACACTTCAAAACTTTATCTTCTGATGTGCCAGAAAATCTTTCTTCCACGCACAGCACCAGCTTATCCAACACATCTTTCATGTTTGTAATCATCACACTTGCACTTTCTCTCACATCTGCAGTCTTCTTTTTCATCCAGATCTTTTTTTCAGACACTGCTGTGGTTTGGTTAATGTGAGTGTTTGCACTTGCCATGACAAAATGGACACAATGGTCAAGCTGAGCAGTGTCTGTGAAGAGTTTTCAGACAAGTCTAACATGACGTCTTCATACCCCCCCCCCCCCTCTCTCTCTCTCTTCCACGAGTGTATCTTAAAAATAATTTAAAAATCAATAATTCCCCCCATTCCGGAGTCCCGTACTTGCGGCGTTCAGATTTTGAATGAACTTTGGTGACCCCAACAACCGGTGCTCACACAATGCCATATCTTGTGCGAAGTGTGCGAAGTGATTATTCGGACTCGAGTCTGAATATGAAAAAATGTTATTCGGACTCTGATTCTTGTCCAGCATGACATCACTTCCAACTTCCTGTGACTCGTGACTCCGGCTTCCTGTCCTGCCTCACTCGTGACTCGCCTCAGGCTGGGTAGACACCGGGATCACTTCGGGCAAAAAGGCGTTTAGTGCAGGAGACGAGTTTTAATCTTACGATGAATTTGAGGCCGGCCTGAAAAGTTATAGCGCTTCTAATAAATGTTTATTTGTCAAGAGGTCATCAGAAGCAATTAAAGATGGCTCGTTAGCGTGTGTCGGGGTCGGATGGGTGGCCTGCACACGTGTGGCAGTGTGCGTGTCGGGGAGGGGGGTGGGCACTATCGGTCCGGGCGTTGAACGTCGCATACGCGTCAGTCTCCCCCCGGCAACTGATCATTATTACAATAATAAGCTAGTCTTGACGTAGATCTACGTAATGAATTGTGCGCTGGTCTATGGAATCAAATGTTGCCGTATGCTCAGCTCTACACAGCAACACAACTTTTTCTGGATAAACAGCTCATAATATGCAGGTGCCAGGTGGTCTGCTAATCTTCAATTTCACCTTTTTCTACAACAAAGAAAGTGGGAAACATGGGGGGTGGGGGGGGCGTATCAATGAGGCGGCGGGCATCGGATCGGCAGAAAAGGTGTGTGTGTGTGTGGGGGGGCGCTAAAAAATGGCGGAAAATTGGAAGCACTGACCGTTAGAACTGTAGAACGAAGACACTTCCTTTTGTCCGAATAACATTTTTTCATATTCGGACTCGAGTCCGAATAAGAATTTTTTTTATTCGGACTCGAGTCGGAATATGAAAATATGTTATTCGGACTCGAGTCCGAATAACGACGGCCTATCTTGTGACTAAGGTTCACTGACCTGCAACGGTGGTGAACCCGACAAGACGCTTGTATAACTTTCTTTTCTTTTTTTTTCCCAAAAGTGACAGCACAGGACAAATATTAATTTATTTTCATGGTGGTAAATTTAAAAAAAAAAAAAACCAAGGGCACGGCAAAAATTGCCGCCGTTAACCCTTTGAGGTATTTTTTAACTTTCCCTCCCGTCTCACATTCAGCTACCAGTTGTCTATTTTCTACTAAATATTGATGCGCTGAACACAAATATCAACTTCATTTCCGTCGCAAATTAATGATAATGGTTTTTGAAATATTTGATTGTTTTTAACCGAGATAGACATGCTTTGGACCAATCGGGGGGTGTTCCAGGGGGGCCTGCCCCACTGGGGTAAAAGAAAATCTGGGGGGTTATAGCCATAATTTGATATTTTACAGTTAGATTTGAAATTGTCTTGAAAATAATTGATTTGCGACAGTTTTAGTGGCTTTATGTAGCAATGACAATGAAAAATTACATTTTAATCCAAATTGCTTAAAAATGGACTTAAATGAAAATAGAGTAAATTCTAAGAACTATGGTTTTTAAAAATTAAAAATCCATTGATAAATAAAAAAGTTATTGGGATTTTTGTTTGCAAAATGTTGGAGGACCTTCATATAGGAAAAAATCGCCAAAATGTGGGACATGTTTTGATGTATTTTGAGGAAAAACTGTTCATAAGTCAGTAATGAATTGGAGCATATGAATGAAACTTGGCATCTCCATGTGATTTTTAGTGCCGAATCTAGTTCTGCTATCACTTTTTCGATGTCTTCATTACTTTGGATCTTAAAGACTGATATTTGCGTGACATTTGTTGAATTGCGTGACATCGTTTTTACCGCGACGCAATCACCCCTTCTAAAACTCAGTAAAACGCTATCGGGAAAACCCGCGATGTAGTCATCGGTGACCCATTTGGTTATAGGCAGCCAATCACATGCCGCCTAGCGATCACGCGCCTCTTGCGTGCCGGCACCTCGCGTTTGGAATGCGCTATCAAGTTTCTAGATCTAGGGTTTTATCAATGGATGGGTGGTAATTTTAAGTTGGTACGGAAAATCTACTAAACGCAGAGATCTGAAATTTTACAGCAATAAAGAAGACATGTGGGGCGCTTGTGTGGTCGGCGATCAACCCATGTTCCGCTTAGTTTTCGAACCACAGAGGAAATTCGCACAAACACGGCAATATCTCCGGTTCTAGTAATCGTTCGGGATTGTACATTGGCATGTCGTTAGTTTAACCTTTCCTCTGGTTGGTTGCCGAGTTTCATTTATTTTCGTCCAGGAGTTTTCCCGTAACTAAACTTAGAAGAGAGTCACTTCTGATTCCGAGCGGCCCAAAAAATACCCCTTGCGCGGAGGCCGATTTCCGGCACAAGGCGCAGCGGGCGATTGGCATTGCTACTTTATGTGTGATCTGCAGCAAACAGTACAGCAGTTTGACCCCTGAAACAGTGCATCTGTGTGCGGGAGTGAAAGTAAAAATTTACCCCCTTTGATTTTAAGGGCACTACGGCAAATTGCAAAGGCACCAAGGCAAATTGCCGTGGTGCCGCGGTCTATTTCAAGCCCTGTGCATGCACAATGTGTAGGCCCCCTGTGACTGTGACTGTGAGTGTGTGTGTTTTGAATGATGAGACGTACACACCTCAGTTACAAACCAACGCAGGCAGTTCTAGAAGTAGGCCACAAACACACACAAACTCAAGCAGATGCACACACACTTGAGCTGCGTGAGTGCGGGACCGATGCGGAACCCGAAAGGAATGGGGATGATGCTAGGAGCGTGTGCGCTGAACCAGAAGAACAAAAAAAAGCCAGGTGCCGAAATGAAAGTGGCTATTCTCACCCGCCCGGAAGTTCTCGCAAGATCAACTCCTCCCCTCTTCTCTCTCTCTCTCTGTCTCTTTCTGAATACTGTCTATCGGTGTGGACGATCAAATTGACCAAAACAAAGTTAAAAACTGATGTTAAAACACAAAAGTAAATTAATTTGGTGATCTAAAAAGATGCTACGGCTATTTAACTTTTCGAATTGAGCCGAACTACGCGGGTCGCCATTTTGTTTTGAGCGGAAATTCTCGCGCTACTCCTCTCTCTCTTTCTCTCCACTGCCCACAGACAAAATTGTACGCTTTTAGTAGGCTACAGTTGTAATGGAACGTTTGTTCACGGCACAGAATTCTACAATTTTTCTGTTATCCCAGTGTAGAATTCTGTGGTTTAGGGTGAACGCAAAATTTGGTGAACGCGCACCGGGTGAGAATAGCCACAAGACTCGCCTGCACTATTCTCATTCCGGGTGAGAATAGAGGTGGCCTGCCGAAATAGGCTTATCGGGCGACATAAACCTGGCCCCTGCAGAACCAGGGTTAAGTAATTATGGTTTCCAGTGGGGCAAGCCCCCCTGAACCCCCCCCCCCCCTAGATCTTTTACTTGAGTCTAGATAATCTACTACTAGATTATCTAGATTCTACTTTTTAATTTTAGGCTCCGATCTATTACGAAGTCGGGGGGGGGGGGGGGGGCAAGCATTATGCTAAAACGGTAAAACGATTCTAGATCTACTGTTACAACTAGATCTAGAATCTAGATCTAGATTTATTTAGATCTAGAATAGATATCTAGAGTTTAGTCTAGATCTACTGTTGGCACTGTTGCCGTTGGTTGGCAGTTGGGGCTGGGGCTAGAGTCTAGATCTAATCTATTCTAGATCTGGAGGCAGCCACCATCAACAAAAAATACTAGATTCTACTCCAAAAAAAGAGAATTACAGTAAATTATAGCCCCTAATATCTGTCATACGAACCATATTTGATATCGCATCGTAGCAGTCTGCCGTAGGGTTCAAATATCTCTTCTAAGTCCCGTGTTCTGGTATCTTTCGACAGTCTCCCAACGTAGATCGCTCCATCCCGACTACGCGACATCTTGGCGAAAGGAAGGAAGTGACGTAATTGCGTTACTGCTGCCAGCATTTTTACCACCACAGCATTTAGAGTTCAGAACAAAAATCTGGTGAAGAAAATATATTATTTTGTCTCCTCAGAACTCATAGGTTTTTCTTTTGCATTTTTAGTTGACGTCGTTTGCAAAAAATGGTTTTAGAATATGATGCATATCTGAAGCGTAATGAAAGTGGAGACTTGAAAATAATCAAGGAAGTGTGTATGACTGATGCGGTAAAAGTGTAGAATATTATGGCCAATAAGGCAAATGCTTTCAATTCGAGCATGACTTGAAATGCTTGAATGTAGCCTAGCCTAGGCCGAGACAAGACCAGACCAGGCTGGACCATAGGCCAAGGCTACAACAACCACAACTAAAAAGGAGAGATAACTCTCTGGAGCAGCGTGACAAGGCTATCCATTCGCTTCACCAGGCAGCAGGCCATACAATAGCCAAAAACCTAATTATAAGAAAAACAAAGTGAATATTCAGTTGAATGAAGGGAGACTTTAGTTTCCAGTTGTTTTTTGTTCTGTGTGTGTGTTGGGAGAGGGGGTATCGTTTGTTTGTTTCTTGTTGTTGCTTTTTCTGC